TGCCAGTGGCTCTAGAGACAGCCTGTTGGCACTATACTCTCAACTCTGTGCCTCATTTCCCCCTCAAGAAGCAGGTGGAAACTTCCAGAGTTCTCCAAATGTCACCCACATGGAAATGTGTGTGTAAACTTTCACTGGCCTCTCCCTCTGCTTAAGTATGTCATTATACGGCCCACCCCTCAACTACGGTTCAAAGTTTAAGTAGACTTGTATTTCAGGATTTGTTTAAAGATAATCTCTAATTAGTTTATGGGGAAAACATGCCAATTCAGAGCGTATTACCTTAAGTTTTGATCATGTATATTTCTAGCACACACAAAAGTTCTAGTGTATAGTAGGTCCTCAATAAGTATCTGATGAGTCAGAGGATGAAGAGATCATGACTATACAATTAGCCAATAACGGCAGTGAAAAGGAGATCTAGAGAACCTGACGGATTCTTGAGAAATCTGTGGATATAGCAGTAGGTAAAAACATTATCCCTAGACTTTGTATCTGACAGGAACCAAGCAATTAATAAAAAAGCATAACCCTAATATAACTTACATTAATAAATTTCAAAATCTAGATTAAAGTCATGATTTGTAAGGAAAATGTAATTTACCAATACTGGTTTGTGAAGAGATATAAAAACGAATTAGTTCAGTAACCATAGAAAAAATTAAATGGGCAAAAATCTCAAGACTTTGTGCAAGGGGTGTCTGGGTGGCTCAGTCGGTTAAGCATCCCACTTTGGCTCAAGTCATGATCTCACAGTTCCTGAGTTCGAGTCCTGCAGCAGGCTCTGTGCTGACAGCTCAGAACCTAGAGCCTGCTTTGGATTCTCCATCTTTCTCTGCCCCTGCCCTGCTCATGCTCTGTCTCTCAAACACAAACATTAAAAAAAAAAAAAAAAAAAGACTTTGTGCAAGACTTTTCCCCTTTGACTAAGCAAGTTTTAAAAAAATACCAAGGATAGGGGCACCTGGCTGACTCAGTCAGTACAGCATGCAACTCTTGATCTCGAGGTCATGAGTTCAAGTCCCACCATGGGTGTAGAGTTTACTTAAAAAAAAAAAAATCAAGGATAACTCTTTGAAACAGAAAAATACACCAGTTTCATCTTACTTGGAAACAGTTCTATTATCCTAAGAATGAAAAATAACTTAATATTAGAAGTCTTTGAATAAAATTCACTAAATGACACTAAAGATACTGATCCTCCAATATATGCAGAATAATCACTTAATAAAATTTTATACCTACTAGTTTAAATTTTAAGTAGAAAATCATAAAATAGAACTGAACAAAGGATATGTACTAGAAATTCATAGCATATATTATCCTTAATGGTGACACATTAAAAGTTTTCTCACTGAAGTCAGTAGCAAGACTATTATTTTCTAGACACTTCCAGTATCCAACATTCTGTGCTAGATACTAGCTAAAGCAATCTTAAGAACAATTAAATAAAATACGAATATTGTATAGGAAATAATCTCATCAATTGGAAAAGATGGGATTCTTGTGGATTTTTTAAGAATGTTGACAAACTTTTAAAGGAGTTCTGCAGCATAATAAATTAGTATATAAAAACAGAATTGCTTTTGCCATGACAACAATGAGAAATTATAAAATATATTAGAAAAAAGGTCTATTTCACTGTAGCAACAAAAATTAAACACCCAGAAATAAATCTGTCAAAAATGCATGTAAAGAAGTCTTAGTAAACCAAGTCCACAAAAGATCTAGTTTAATGAATTCATACTGTTCTTGAAGAGAAATACTATTGTAAATCTCTCCAAATCCTATTAATTTAGCACAAAAACATAACTTCAAGATATGCTCACAAACAGTCAAGACATTTTTGGAAAAAACATTAGGAAGATGTTAACCCCAACAAAACTGAAAATACATCAGCAAACTAGAAACAATTTATTTATTGTTACTAGAAGCAATTTATTATTTATTTGGGATATCAAATATCTCAAAGAATTTAGCACATAATAAAACAGCATTTCCAATCAGTGAGAAAAGAGTGGAATTCATTAATGGTTTTTGAATTTTTGAATAAAAGTAGCTGTATATCTTACTCTTCCAAAAATCAAGTCTCAACGAAGAACTGATGGGATGCACACATGATAAATGTCTTAGAATACAGAATATGTTTTATATTTTGAAATAAGTAATAAAAATTATCAATTTGTATATATAAATATAAAACATCTATTAAAAAAGACACCATAAGTAAACTTAAATACAAGTGATCAATGAGTAAACATTGGTAACAGACATAAAAGACTAATATCTACACCATATGAAAAACAACAACAAAAAAAACCCATGAGATAAAGACAAATCATTCAACAAAAAAATGAGCCATGTTGCCAAAAGGCAAGTCACATAAGATATATAAAAATGGTCTAAAATAAACATGAAAAGATGCCCATCCTTACTACCGTCAGAGTTTTGAATTAAAACAATAAAAAAACAAGTTTTTACTCATTAAAAAAAAAATCTAATATCAAGTGTCCTAGGAAACTGCAAATTGATAACAGCCATTTTGGAAGCCAACTGAAGTATCTCTTGAAATATCCCTTTAAAACTGCCTGACTTGGGTCCAACAATTCAAAGCCTAAGCATATACTACAGAGAAATCCTTTTATGCACAGTGTAATACAGGATGATGTTCCTTTAGCATTGTTTTGTAATCAGGAAAAAACAAAACAAAACAAAACTCCCTTAAGTGTCCATTTTAGACTAAATAATTGTGGAACAATCTTTCTTTTTTTTTAAATAAAAGTAAAGAAATTAGGTGTGATTATACTGAAATAAGCCAAGTAGAAAAGTTGTAGAATGATATGCATATATTTAGGTAAAAATTGAAACTATACACTTCATTTCCTGTGCTTACATATAGCATGTATATATAGTATATACATTCATGGAAAAAGGTCTAGGTAGAAAGTTAACAATCGGTGCTTAACAGGGAGGGTATTGGGATTGAAGGTGATTGTCAAAAATAGACTTTTCTCTGATGTATTTTACAAGTAAAATGCAGTCATATGCCACATTTGTAATATGAAATGTAAAGAAAAGCAGTATGCACAAACCAATACATTTTAAGAAAAAATATACACTCAAAATTATTCTCTGTGTTTCTTTCTCCCTTCCTACTTGATGTGAACATACAGGAAAGATTCTGGAAGATTACCTGCCAAAATGATGTTAATACTATCTAAAGATACCTCTGATAGAAATGATACACTCAACTCCTATATTCTCATTTGAAAGAGAGAAAAAAGTTCAGTTCAAGATTTATAAAAGCAATACAGTATCAACTTAAGCTCTTATTATTTTGTTTTTTAGTCACTTATAAAATTCACGTGGTACAAGGTTATATATTGACATTTTGCCAAATCTTTAGAATATAGTATTTGGGGCAGAGGGAAATAGTTTTTAGACTTAAGTCATTATTAACATTTCAGTCACTAGTTTTATTAAGCTTATAAACAAAAATGCTTTGATATTTAAAGTTATCACTGATCATCTTGTGAGGACTATTCTTTCAAGAGATTATTCTGTAAAACCTTTTCTAATGAGAATATTGGTATTCAAATACAACCAGCTGCATTTTATGAATACTACTACTTTTGAATGTATAGACTAAAAATTGTTTTCAGAGAACTGTGCTTTTAGGAATTGCTTTATATTTTTTAAGTAGATTAAACTTTACAAATATTACATTATCAATATGGCTTCCAATTCTTAAACAAATTGCCTGTAGTAATATAGTTTTTCACACCTCTACAAGGACAAAAAGAACACCAAAGCAGTCATATCACATTGTATCTCGAAGATCTACCATGTAAGTGGCAACTGTCCTCTGCTTTTTTCTGCTATTTGGGAAAGTATTTGCATTTGTGATAGCACAATCCCACTATCAAGTCCTCTATCAACTTCTCATACTGATGGGGCTTCAGTTAACGGATACGAAGACTGAAAAGTTCATTCACTCATTTGTGACCTTAGCTCCATCCTAAAAGACTTTTTTTGGTAGTAGGGAAAGCAGACACAAACAGGAGGCAAAGCAACTTTCATGATGACCTCCAGCACTTTTCAAGGAGGAGGAACTGCTTCTTGTTAATTCACGTTTCGCTCAAGTCTTAAATCATGAAAAGAAAACAATGATGAGAGAAACTTCCAGAGCTATCTGGTTTTGAAATGGTTAGGAGAGAAAAGTACATAGTCAGTAGTTTTTTCCCAAATAAAAAGGTCATCTTTAAGGAAAAAACATTTTTGAAGGATATCTTCAATGGAGCCCAGAATTTCCCTCCCCTATCTTAGGTATCTAATTCAACTGTCTCCTATAGCAATTTGCCTTGTGAAAGTACCTCTCACCTTACTTATAAAAGAACAAGTTCCTTTAGAAAGGCTCTAATGGAGAGGGCACTGGGCAGTGTTAGAAAATCTGGATCTGTCACTGAGATCCCAAGATGACCTTAGCAGCTTCTTTTTCTGCATTACAGGTGGGCTGCACTAATGTCTGAGTCAATGATCTAACTAAGCTCTAAGAGTCAATGATCCATGTTTTCATCAAAGGCCACCAAGGAAGGAAACATGCCTTTTTCCTTCAAATCATAAAGGCACTTTTATACTATATTATATATCAGTTTATTTTCAATTCAGCACTTTTTTTACATGAAATACCTAGCATCTCTTACATTATAGATATTTAAAAAATAGGAGTTGATGATGACAATTCAAAAAAGTCATATACAAGGTAACTGATGTGAAGAGACTTGGAAAATAAGTCATTGAGTAGATTCTATAAGTCTTTAAAACAAATGACAGGTAAAATTTTACTTCAAGATAATATTTAGCATTTAAAGTGAAGAATGACTGACTAGTTAGTAGCACTGGCATTTCTTTTCATATGAAACTTGGAAAATAAGGTATGACTTAAACGGAACCCATTTAATACAAAAGTCTTTGATTTATTTGGTAATTTAAATTTGTTTTTATAACAAAGCACTTTTTATATAATTTAAAATACACATGCTTTGATTGAAGAGTGACTGTAAATGGATCCAGTTTTCTTCCACTTGTGATGACAACTTTGTCAATTCTTCTAGAAGTACTGGTTCTGAAGGAAGCAATTTAAGATGTAACTGAAAGAAAAATATTGTAACATTTAAGAAAATTAAAATTTTGTTTATTCTAGATTTAACCTTCTTACCAAGGAACAGCAGAAGATACTATTCTATTTTTTCCTTAGATGCTGGTTTATTACCAATTTCCATTTCCCTCTCTTCTATCGAACTTTTATTATGAGTTCCTTTATGGTATTGTCTCTCCCTTAGTAGAACTGAAGCTGTCATCACTCTCCTCTACCTAAGGAAAGTCCTAATATGGATGCAGAAACAAGATCCTAGTTCTAACACTAACTCTGTATTTCTGTGCTTCTTTAAGGTTTCTCTTTTCATTGGAACCTACTGGTAATGAATGATTGAGGGCCCTTTGCTTTATCTTCTAAAGATTTATGTACATTTATATTCAGAAACTATACTTGATAATTTTGGAAAAAGAGAAAAAATTTGTGGCATTCTATTTTTTTCATCCTATATTCTACCATCTAAATGTCTACTTTAAGTTGCACATAATTAGATCAAGTGTAAACTCATTTTAGATACAAATAGGAAAGATGAAGTATCATTATCTGTTAACACAAGTCAGTATCATCTACTTCCTTCAATACAAACATGCTACTGCAATAAACAGGAATTTTCCATTATGTTAGTCATAAAAACAACTGTTCTTGCCAAATTACTTGAAACTCCTTCAACCAGGATAGAAGTATTTTGACTTCAGCAGCAGAAAAAACAAAAGCAAACAAACAAAAAAAATCAACACAAAACCTAACTTTCTCTTTATGATCATAGAAAAACTGCCAAAATGTGATGACTTGAAAAAGTTAACATTTCAATATACTGAATCAAATGGAGGACACAGAAAAGTTAGGTGGATGAGTCAAAATTGTGCTAAGTAAAAGAAAAGACTACAAAATTATGCTGTCCAGCTGTCCAATAGTACACACAGCTATTTAAACTTAAATTAATTAAATCTCTATAAAATAAGAAATCTGGTATCTTAGTTTCATTAGCCACATTTCAAGTGCTCAATAGCCAAAAGCTCCAAGTGGCTGCCATGCTGGACAATGCAGAATAAAACACCATCATCCTTGCAGAAAATTCTATCAGACAGTACTACCCTAGAGGAAGGCAAGCTGAGAAGTACTGTCTTACATCAGACTTACCTTTAGAAACAATGCAAGATATGCCTGGGCTAAGTCAAAATCACGCTTCCTGTCCAACATCATCCCGATCATTTTTAAGAAGCTCTGCATCACTTCTATAGACCCACCGCAGTCAGGAGACAAGCTGCGCAGCTCTGTTTCAATTCCTGATGGGCCTAATTCTTTCAGAAGGTTAAGAGCAGCTTCATCTGCATTAAGTTTTAAAAAGAATCTCATTACTACTTATAATAACTTCACTTAGGAAACTATAGCTTCATTTCATACCCGAGCTACATATATTTAAATTACACAGGAAATTCTTCCTGTGGCTTTATTTTTTCCTGTTAAATCACAGAATGAACCCCAAATTAAGTAATAATTAGTACAAATGATGAGAGCAATCAGTTTAGTACAATAAAAATACTAAAAACACTAAACTTTTTGTATCTTAGTAAGTTTGTTTTTCCCTGCTGTTTAAGAAAATCTAATCAATACCTAACAACAGACACTTCAAGATGGTCTTACAACAATCAGATGGTCACATATCAATCAAGACAAATCCAAATATAAAAAGGTATAAGGTACATACCAAATTATTAACAGTAGTTGCACTGAGAACAGGATGAGGTGGGGGAATTTATTTTTCTTTCCTTTTATTGTTACAAAAAACTTTAAAGTACCATATGATCATTATGAAACACTAACAATACAGAAATATATAAAAGGGAAAAGACTCTACACTTCATTCTTACCCATCCCAAATTGATACCTTTTCTCTAGATTTAAGGATTCTTGTTTCTTGTTGCTGTTTTCTTAAATGTTTATTTATTTATTTTGATATACAGAGAGAACACAGGCAGGGGAGGGGCAGAGAAAGACAGAATCTCAAGCAAGCTCTGCGCTGTCAGTGCAGAGCCAGGAATGGGGTTTGAACTCACATACCGTGAGATCACAACCTGAGCCGAAATCAAGAATTACATGCTTAACTGACTGAGCCACCCAGATGCCCAGCACTGATTTTTATATGCATCCTATGAATATATATTCTATATACTTACAACTATTTTTACAACAAGCATTTGATATTACAATGGCAATGATTATGCTTTTAGCTTTTAGAAAGGGAACGACGCCAGTGACAAAAGTCTAATAAATTTTATTTTCTGTCTTCCAGTAGATACTAAATGATAGTATCTTCTTCCTTGTGCACCCCCATATAACAAGTTACTCCTTTTATGATTCTGCTATTTTTCAGTCATCTGCAATGGCCCATCAGTAGCATTATTTGACTTTTCACCAATGTGGATTCAAGTGATACTGGTATAAAAACAAAGTATTTGGATCCAAAAAACAAGAGGATAAATCAAACAGGAGAGTGACTGTCTGTTTATCGCTTATAGATCTTTTTTAAAATTATAGTTCTTACTGTTTATCACTATTAGCTACAAACTGTATCTTTCAAAATTTAAATCTAGTAGTACAATAAATAAATTTTAAAATTCCTTTTTAATGGGAAAATTTGGGAAGATCTAAAAATCAAAGGAGACAAAAGTCTCTGCCATATTACAAACTGTATTTGTAAATAAAAACAAAAGCAAGAGACGGGGGGGGCGGGGAGCCCACTAATTTCCATACAGAAAGTATGAGAGGTTCTTAAAATATTATAATATTGACATTCATCTAAGTTCAGTGTCACTTGTTAAAAATATAACGATACTGGGGCGCCTGGGTGGCGCAGTCAGTTAAGCGTCCGACTTCAGCCAGGTCACGATCTCGCGGTCCGTGGGTTCGAGCCCCGCGTCGGGCTCTGGGCTGATGGCTCAGAGCCTGGAGCCTGTTTCCGATTCTGTGTCTCCCTCTCTCTCTGCCCCTCCCCCGTTCATGCTCTGTCTCTCTCTGTCCCAAAAATAAATAAAAAACGTTGAAAAAAAATTTTTTTAAATATAACGATACAAAAGCTAACATTATTTCATAAGAAAATCAAAATTTTGATCTTTTTTAAGTTTTTACTATGTTCTTTCAGCTACTGAAAAATCTGCTAATATTTCATTCAATTTCTTTTCACACAAAGTATAATACGTTGATGATACTTGGTAAAAGATTTCACAATTTAACTTACATTTATTATTTACCAGTCCTTCTTCAAGTTTCAAGCAGAAATCTGATTTTTGAGCCAAAATTCCAAGATTCACCACTTTAGACTTAAAGAAAAACAAATGCACATTATTTCAAGAATGCAAATGCAACAAAAAAAATTATACCTTATAATTAAAAGCTATCATTAATGTACTTTGTAAAATTAGGTCTTGACAAAGAACTACAAATGCAGAACACAAAACACACCCCATATACTTAGAATGTTCCAATTTGGTTTTTACCTGATGGGGATCATTATTTTGTTCAGGTGCAGCATATCTGGGTACAAGGCCAGGAATTGTTGGAATAAAAAATGGTGCTGATTTGGGTACTTTGGGTGGTTCCTTTGGTTTATTCTTTTTCTGATTAAAAGAAAATCAGAAAGGAGAAAAGACTATGAAGTAATTATTGTGACAAAAGTTTCTAATGTTTAATTCCAAACAATTTTAAAACAAAGTGCAAAAAGTAAAATAAAAGGACAAAACATTTTCAATTCTAAATCTAAATTTGATTCAATTTAAATTTATTCAATTTAAATTTAAATTAGATTCAATTCAAATCTAAAACCTTTTTCGCAAAATGGGCTAGAAAGCAAAAGTTACACAAACGCTCAACAGTTTCTCAAGTTTTTTTTTTTTTCTCCAGAAGAAATGTGGAGCCAAAGGTAGACTTTGCCATTAGAAATAATTTGATAAAATTTTCTTGTGAAGAATATAGCCCTGATTCTTCTAGTTTGTTAAAATTTCTACTGATTTTCCCTTACTTTGAGTCTTTAAGAAGCAAGAGAACAACAGTGCTCATTTACAAAATATTACAAGTGTTAGTAAAATTCTATCAGGAAAACCTCCATTGGAATTCCCACTGACAGAACTTAGTTTTGGTGACCACAGGCTACACATCACTACCTCAGGAGCATCTGATGAAAGGGCCTTTCTGTGGTAAACTGCCCAATAAAAGTCTCACAGTTTTACCTTACATCATTCCTCCATTCTCTAGGAGCTCTGTGACCCTAGAGAGATTCGTTTTTTGAAAGAAAACCAAGGATACTTGTGGCCTTGTGGAGGCAGAGCAAAAAAGAAAGTTACTACATGAAAACAGGACAAGGGAGTGCCAACTGTAGCATATGCACAGCTCTTCTTGGGGATGGTGGAGACTCTAGTAAGAGTCAGTTACCCTTGTAACTTGCTGTTCTTGAGGTGGAAGGGAGAGAGTCACTGAGCTGTAAATAAGAACAAAAATCCTTTTGCAAGTGCTCCACAGGGAGCACTAGAAATAGTCTCATAAGGAAAACCAAAAGGAGAAAAGTTACCCATAAGACAAAATTCTAATTTCTTTCATTCAGTAAAAAAATAAAAATATTGGAGATGTTAGCATATTTCTACCATAAAGATTATTCACTTGGTTTCTAAAACAAAACTGTATCTAAGCAAGCAACAGAGTAGTCCAAAACCTTAGTTCAATTAATTGGGCATTATTCTGACTGCACCCTTCACACTAACCTACTTGTCCTTTTTAATGCATTGCTTTTAAAGCTATTCCATAAAGTACTGCCTTTATAGCTGACACACTGGATAACATCATAGAGATTTTTCACAACTATGTTCCTACATAACATACCTTCTGTGAGGAAAACTAACACATGAAAACTCTTTTCTTACCCAAGATACACATGTCTTTTCTGGTGCTAAGTAATCAGTTACAAAAATACTTACCATACCTTGTCATAGTTATCTATGTAAGTGTTCTTACACTTTCTAATGCTCATAAGACATGTAAGACGTTCATAAACACTTACCCTTATTATCAGATGATAACCTTTGAAGTTTTCTACTCTAGTCTATTCCTTTTAATTATTTTTGCTACTCACAAATGGGGGCCAGGAAATATGCTTTGAAAAACACTAATTTATGCCATAATCATCCATTTTTCATATAAAATTATAAATTTCTCAAGGACAAAGGAGCTAGGTTTGTTGGGTTTTTTTTCACTGCTGCTGTCCTTGGGATATTATCCAGTACTTAGTTCATATTAATTTATGTGCCTGCACTTAACACAGCAAACTGTGAAGGTCTTCTTGGAGTTGACAGAGTAAGGTATAGAATGGCAAAGGGAAGCTGAAGCTTAATTAAAAGACCAGAGAAAGTCTTCTAGTACTCAAATGCCTAGCAACAGAAATATCACACATCATGATAGCAATTTTTTTTCTCATTTAGAAGTTAAAAAAAGTAGTTGATTAGGTTAGATTTAAAACATCCAACTTCTAATGGCTCTGTAGTTGCAGGCTGTACTTCTGCTATATCAAAAGGTCTGCTCAGTGCTCTGAAAGTCAATTTCAATAGAGAAAGAATCTTGTGATAATCACTGGATCCAACAGCATTCAACTAAATGGTATGCTCTACTACCTTAGGCATTAACTGCTCCTCCTGAAACCCTCCAAGTAGAAAAAGCTATCTCTACTAAAGAAAATGATTCTGGAATGTGTCTTTAGGAACCAGTATTAAGTGTACTACAGCATTACCTTAATAACATCAAGATTAAGAAGGTTTTTCCACCGTGATTCAGGGAGGAGTGACAGAGTCACCAAGTGCTCATTCAACTGTTCTGGGGAATCATACTCTATCATTTCATCACTTGGTTCTATGGTTTCTTCTGATAATTCCACATCTTAAAACAAAAAAATTTCAGGTGAAACATATTAATGCAGAATAAGATTTTTATCATATAAAAGCAACTTAATTTATTCCAAATCCATTTGTATTTCATAACATGCATACTCAATATAGCCTTAAAAACTCTATTTACTTTTACTTCCTCATCTTGTCATATTATCTACGATTCCCATCACCAGAAACAAAACATTTCTCCACTGGTATACTATTAATATCTTATCAATACCACAAATTATATTTTTGCATTAATTCATGATGTCTTTAAAAATATTTCCTATCAGTTGGAAAATACTTTGATTCAATGCATTAAACTTTGCCTTCAGTAGTAATATCCCCCATGTTAGGTTTGTGAGATTACATTTCAAAAATTATTTTACTATGTTGTGATTACCTTGGGTTTGACAAGTACCAGGAAGCATCACTACTGAAGGAACATAATCTGTGGGAAGTGGGCGTAGTGAAACAACTGAATACAGTGAAACATTGGACCTGAGAAATAAAAATATAAACAATATGTTAAGACTTTTAAGTTTTTCCAGAAAAACTTCAATTACTGGTCATTAATAATCTCTGCAATCTTGAATTCAGCTTGGTTCCAATCACTTATAAGTAGAAAAAAAATCTCCAATAGTATTAATTTGAAAATGCCTTGATTGAGGTCATAAATGTCATCGCTAGAGAGCTGTGCATAAACTTTATTTATTAATGGAATCTTTATTTTTTTACAGTTTTTATTTATTTGAGAGAGAGAGACAGAGAGAGAGCGAGAGAGAGAGTGAATGTGGGGATGGGGTGGAGAGAGAAGGAGAGAAAGAGAATCCCAAACAGGCTCTGTGCTGATAGCACAGAGTGGTGCAGGGCTTGATCCCATAAACCATGAGATCACGATCTGAGCTGAAATCAAGAGTCAGACACTCAACTGACTGAGCCACCCCATGGAGTCTTTATTTTAATATAGTACGAAAAGTATTTGAGAGATCAGTAATGAATACTTGCATAAGATAACATAACCTCCAAACATTTAAATTGTTTTGACAAATGGCAACCTTCATTTAGGGAAATCATTTTTTTTTTTTAAGAAAGTCTTTTTTTTTTTTTTAATTTGTTAACATTTATTTCTTTTGAGAGACAGAGCATGAGTGGGAGAGGGGCAGAGAGAGAGAAAGGGAGACACAGAATCCAAAGCAGGCTCCAGGCTCCTAGCTGTCCGCACAGAGCCCAATGTGGGGTTCGAAGTCACGGACCATGAGAGCATGACCTGAGCTGAAGTTGGACTCTTAACTGACTGAGCCACCCAGGCACCTCCGTTTCGGGAAATCATAACTAAAGGAAAGATGGACTCAGTTAAGTCAGACAGCAAATATGCTGTAACAGTCATGGTCTTTCCCTTCTGTAGAACGGTCCTCTAAAGTGATCATGGTTCTGCTACTTGACCCTGCACCATAGCCTTGGATGACTAATCCAAGATACCTCCCCCAAAGGGCTAATCAGATTCTCTTCCCCATACATTATAAATCTGGAATGTAATATAATAATTGGGACTATCAGGGGCACCTGGGTAGCTCAGTTGGTTAAGTGTCTGACTTCAGCTCACAGTCCGTGGGTTCAGGCCTCGCATAGGGCTCTGTGTTGACAGCTTGGACCCTGAAGCCTGCTTTGGATTCTGTGTCTCCTTCTCTCTCTGCCCCTCTGTCTCTCTCTCAAAAATAAATAATAAAAAATAATAATAATAATTGAGAGTATCAGGTTCTGAGTTATATTAAGCGTGACACTATATACTCCTGCTGATGTCCAATAGGTATTCTACTATTTTCTTGTCTTGATTATTCAAGCTTCTTAGATTCCAGGAGATATTCCAATTTGCACGTTAAGGTGGCCAGAGTCTATTTCTATTATATATTGAATTTATTTTCATATCCTAAAAATCCAGTTATAAAATTTTATAATTAGAAAAGGGATCAATTTTTTTCTCTTCCTTAATAGTAAGAGTTAAAGGAATTATACAACTAAATTCAGGAAGCAGATAAAACTTTTCTAGACTCAAATGATGGACCTTTATTTTGAACTCTTACATGTTCATCATAATGGAGTTGGAAGATCATCATAAATACCATTTCATGGTTATGAAGAGTTATGTAACTAGAATGAATCTTAGAAAGCATTTTGCCCATACTTATGCCTTATTTTGCAGATAAAGTACGCTGAGTTGAGAAGTTGGCTAAAGTGGTAATAGGGCTGTGGCAGGAAGGCCAGACCAGGCCTTTTAAATTTTAAAATTCACTTATCCTTTCTGCAAATAAAAACCAAATATAACTAAAAATCAGTCCTGTGGTTTAGAATACACACTGAAGCAAAGCTATCTAAATTATCAAGTAGATGTTAAATATACTCATGGTGAATTGTTTATGTGAAATTTCCATTTTATAAATTAAAACAAAAGCAAAAACAAAAACCTAAATGGCAATATTAGCAACTATGATTTTCTGACAATATCATCATCCTCTTCCCTACCCAGAACAGAAATGTATATAAGAACTTACCAAAGATAAATTCCAAGGTGGTCTACGTGGGAAGTAGCCAGAAAGTCTCCAGTAGGGGACATAGTAACATTGAGAGGAGCAGAGTCCAACAGAAAGCTGTCTATAAGGCTATAAAATGAATTAGAATGTTAAAGTATTTTAACAAATACCAAAAAAGGACATAACTCGCAAAATATATTTTTGCTAAAAGAACAAGGTATGAAAGATGAAGAAAATATTCATGTTTTATTTCTACAAATCAACACAAGAAAGCCATCACTAACAAAGAGCTTTGTCAAATACGTTAATATGTGAAAATAATCTCCCTTAATGAGAAAGACCTAGAACCCTAAATAGACCAATTAACTAGAGAAAGAGTTTCAACAATAGGGAAAATACTAGAGGAAATGCTCTCTTTTTCTGGAAAGCCACTTTGGTAGACTGACTTGGGGACAAATTCTGAAGACGTGGGGGCGCCTGGGTGGCGCAGTCGGTTAAGCGTCCAACTTCAGCCAGGTCACGATCTCGCGGTCCGGGAGTTCGAGCCCCGCGTCAGGCTCTGGGCTGATGGCTCAGAGCCTGGAGCCTGTTTCCGATTCTGTGTCTCCCTCTCTCTCTGCCCCTCCCCCGTTCATGCTCTGTCTCTCTCTGTCGCAAAAATAAATAAATGTTGAAAAAAAACTAAAAAAAAAAAAAAAAAAGTTATACGAGGAGTGAAACTTCCTAACACATTTAGAATCTGTTAAAAAGAGAATCTAATGCTTGAGCAAATTTATGTTACTTGATACTATATTTTGTCGAATTCACTGTGCAACTTGACTTCCACAGCTGTTATGTGTGGGTGGATTGGCTCTCCGTTATGTAAAAGCATCAAATTAAAGAAAGGTGGTTTCCACATACACAGTGTATTTTACACTGCCACCTTAGTTCATAAAGCATAAGTGTACAGGTTTAATCTCAGACCTAACTACCACACTGTCTTCTGCTAATCCCACAAAATGAAAAGCCCCAGGTATATTATAATTTTTTTTGAGCAAACATTAACAAAACTTTAAGGGATCAGATTTTCAAGCACAGAGACTTGCATATACAGGTTAACAGTAAGTAATTTCTGATTATATTCTGAGCAAATGCAGACAGCATCTAACTGTTCAATCTCCAAAGGGACAGAATTACCTTACAAAAGGATCTTAAAGAATAGAAACAAAAGGGATGGTTTTTGCCTCAGTGAGAAATGCAAAACAATGTTGTATTCCAACTATTTTCATGTAATGCTCCACAGAGAGCAGGGGTCAGAGGGTGAGAAAGAACAAAATGTAAAATTCTATTAACTATTTACTTTTATATTTTCCTCACCCCAAAGGGGCTCAATCTGAATTTCTAATAGATGAAAAACAACCAGAAATAAGTAGTAGATGCCACATAATTTCAGAGAAAAAAATTTCAACTCTACTTCTCTGAGAATCCTATAAACACAAGGAAATTTTCAGCACTTTAAAAACATTTTACAGAAAACAGTTCAGAACGTACGCCATTTGCTTTAGATAGGTACTGCAGATGGATACACATGTATGTTACCACGCCCAAAGGTTTGCTCATACTTTCACTTTTCAGACTGTAAGTCAATTCATTGTTTAAATATTTAACATGTTGTGTAAATGATGAAACTGCTTGTTGAGCAAAGAACTAGGAATATCCAAAAGTTACCTAGGGTTGTAAAATGAAATACTGATCCTCACTTCCTTATTATCTCTACAAAATCAATTCATCCCCAGAGCATTACGCAACTAAGCAAAGTTGATATCACAATTATTGGGAAATCTGTTTCTTTCTTCTGTGTTTATTACAGCAAAATGTCACTTACAAACTATGCAACCTTGGGTAAATGACTTGTCTCTGAGCCTCCATTTCCTCATTTGTAAAATGGGACTAATAACAGCAGTACCTACAGCTATTAGGATATGAAGGAAGATGGAAATACAAGCACATATGAAAGTCAGCTTAGCTGCAATCAGGCAGCAGCAGCTGTTTGACATTGCTTTTCAAGCTTTCTCATTCACTGTGCCTCATAGCTGAACCAAGTAAGTATTTATGGTTTTCTTTATTAAAATATACTTTGGTCCAATCAGGGTAGAAATTATTAGATTTTCTTTTAATAATCCTTACATGACTGACTCATTTCTTGCCCGTTTGTTTCTCCCGGCTTCCCTCTGTATTCACTTAATATGTCTCACGGTTCATCTAAAAATAAGGTATCGGAGTTGAAAACTGGTCAGATTTAAATCCATTCAACTTTTTACTGAAATAAGAAATTTAGCAAAAAGGGTAAACGTTGAGTCAAAGACTGGTAGCTTTGAATGCTGGTTTAAGAACCTAATTCTTACATTCCAAACATAAGTTTATCACTATTTATTTATTGTTTGTTTGTTTATTTTTGAGAGAGAGAAAGAGACAGAGCGTCAGTGAGGGAGGGGCAGAGCAAGAGGAAGACACAGAATGCGAAGCAATCTCCAGGCTCTGAACCGTCAGCACAGAGCTCAAAGCGGGGCTTGAACTCACAAGCTCTGAGATCATGACCTGAGCAAAGTCAGAAGCTTAACCGACTGAGCTGCCCAGGCACCCTGTGTTTACCCTTTTATTTTTTTAATTTATTTATTCTGAAAGTGAGAGAGAGAGTGGGGGAGGGGCAGAGAGAAAGGGAAAGAGAGGATCAAGAGGATCAAGAGGACAAGCAGGATCTGCATTGTCAGCATGGAGCCTGATGTGGGGCTCGAACCCACAAACCGTGAGACCATGACCTGAGCTGAAATCAAGAGCCAGTTGCTTAACCGACTGAGCCACCCAGGTGCCCCTTACCACTTTTAAAAAATATTTTGCCAGTTTAGTACTATTCAACATTAACCCATCTCTCCCATCTAATGTGAACTGAAACTAAAAAGGTGTATACCTTGTACAACTTTCCTACTGTAAGGCAATTTAATTATATTGTTAATTTTTAGAAGATTGTGAAAGTCTGAAGAGCACAACCAATATTTCTAATGTAGCCTTCAAAAAAGGAGTTTTTAAAAATTAAGGAAGTACAAACTTTAAGTGAACTTTTAAAAGCTACAAGACACAGCCAACTAATTAGATTTTGTTTCACTATATTTTGAGTGAAAGAGAGACACACCTATAGAGAAGGTTCCTAGTTATTAGAGCTGGACCCCTTAGACACTCTTGCTGTGCATGTTCCAAATCTGGTGCATATGCTGGATGGACAGCTGTGCCTCATTCCTATACCAACCTTAAAGGGAAATGAGTCTATCAGGGTTTTTCCTTTCTAAAGGTCAAACTGCTTTCAGGTATAAACTTATCAATTCCTGAGAAAAGAGGAAGTACAATTGGACAGAGCTTAATTTAGGAATTTTTCAGAGGTTTAAAAAGTGCCATCTTCCTTCCCATTTTTCCCCACCTTATAGTATGTTCCTGTTAAAATAGATACTTCATTGTTTCCATCACTACTTTCATACTCTAAGCAATTCTGTTAAGTGATATGATTTTAAATCGTATCTATTCCTACATAATTTTTAACAACAAAGCTAGTTCCCTTGCTCTCACTCTGTAGGTCTCCAATGTTCAAATTATTTAACAGAAGTAGGTAAATTTTCAATTTAAGTGCTGTTTTTGTAACAAGTTTCTATCTACGAAACAAAACGGATTTCTGCATCTGCATGCTGCTGGGTTTTACCCAAATTCTAAGAAACACATTATCTAAAACAAGAATTATGTCAGACACAGAAAATACATAGTATATAAAAGTAAAGTTGGGTTTTGGACCTTTTAACTAAACACAATAACAACAACAACAAGACACTAAATATGAGTTTCCAGTCCTAAAGTCTGAACTCTATTTTCGAGTATCAAAAAGGTCAAATGAGCTTTCTTAAAGTTTATTCAACTCGGGGCGCCTGGGTGGCTCAGTCGGTTAAGTGTCCGACTTCGGCTCAGGTCATGATCTCACGGTCCGTGAGTTCGAGCCCCGCGTCGGGCTCTGTGCTGACCGCTCAGAGCCTGGAGCCTGTTTCCGATTCTGTGTCTCCCTCTCTCTCTGATCCTCCCCTGTTCATGCTCTGTCTCTCTCTGTCTCAAAAATAAATAAACGTTAAAAAAAAAAAAAAAAGTTTATTCAACTCACTTCCTATGTCTCAATTTTGCAAGTACAGAAAACCTAAGAGAGATTACATTTTCCTCACTATTACCTTTTATGGCACTACTCCTTTCCAAAAAACAGGTTTTTGATCTAACAGTAAGGTTAGAAAAATCCCCAAAATATATTCACATTTAAAAGGCACACAAACCATTAACTATAGGTAAAAGTTACACGTAAAGACGATGACTGAGAAATCTTCTGACAGAGGTTAGGGGTTTAAAAATAAACTCACCACCCAGATGGAAGGTCCCAAGTTCTAACAGTGCAATCCATTGAAGCACTTATTAACCAACGACCATCAGGACTGAAAGCCTTCAAATTAAAAGAAAAACAAGAATACACATATAATGCGTGTGTGCATTTATGTATGTATATTTGTGCCTGTATATTTAACAGCTTAAAGAATGCAAGAAATGAAAACAAGATGCAGGCTTCATAAAAAAATAAGTCTGAGTAAAATTTAAACTGCTGCATTTTATAGAAAAAAATTCATTTCTTATATGCCACTGTTTGGATATAAATAAAAATTAGGTTTTTACATGTATCATAAAAAGTTTTAAAAATTAACAGTATCATCCAATTTCAATTTTTACTACATAACCACCTACATTTATAGACAGTTAACAAATGACTACAAACATTTTCAGGATAAAACTGCTAGCTATTCTGAGAACATTCAATGAAATATTTTGTTAGCCTAATTTCAGTTATAAAGTTCTGTGAAAGAAACAAAACCTATATTTCACTAAAAAATCTATATATTAGACTGGCTTCCTTAGAGTCCAAAATGATTTTGAAAACAAGAATGCAAATGCCCTGGGGCGCCTGGGTGGCTCAGTCGGTTGGGCATCGGTTGGGCGTCTGACTTCGGCTCAGGTCATGATCATACAGATTATGTGTTTGAGCCCTGCACTGGGTTCTGTGCTGACAGCTCAGAGCCTGGAGGCTGCTTCAGATTCTGTCTCCGTCTCTCTCTGCTCCTCCCCTGCTCACACTGTGTCTCTCTCACAAATAAACAAACATTAAAAAAAAAAGGAATGCAAATTCCCTTAATATGTTAAAGTTACTACACAAGAACTTCTATTTGTCGCTTCAGTTAAAGATCCTTTTATAATGATGTTTTGATTCCAAAATGTAATTTAACACCACAGTAATTAGAATTGCAAAATAAAAGTAAATAATAAACTACTTATGCCACCTTAAAGAAGCTATATCTTTTCTGTTGATATAAATGGATAAATAGCTCTCATTTTCCTGTAGCACATAAGTGTTGTGAGGCTTAGATCAGGCCATATATGAAAGAAGACCCCCCCCCAAAAAAAAACTTTAATGTTTATAATGGTAGATTATTCATCCAGGAGTTTCAACACACCACAGGGATTATCACCATCCATATTAACAGATGATACTGGGATAAGTGGACTCCAATCTGTTCATTGGGTTGTAGTGATACAGCAGAACCTCAAACCTTAAGGTACAGTGAGTTTAATTTACAGAATCATGTACATTAAGGACAGGGAAAATGACTCTGATAGGTAATCTGTGTTATATGCTCACAGATTTAACTGAACAGGAATAATTTATTGCTGAGTAGGAGAAATTCCAGACATACAAGTTCAAAATAAGGTTTGAAAAGGAAAGAAAGAAAGGGCAAGCTGGCACCGACTGGTTTTAAAAATGCATCAAAAAATTTCATCAAAATCACTCCACTCCTGCCCTCATTTCTACAGATGATAACACAACAAATTATGTTGCCAATTTCCTATCTGCAGAACAACACAATTTCCTGGCTTTTTCCCCTATATATTTTTTTTTTTTTTTAATTTTTTTTTTTCAACGTTTATTTATTTTTGGGACAGAGAGAGACAGAGCATGAACGGGGAAGGGGCAGAGAGAGAGGGAGACACAGAATCGGAAACAGGCTCCAGGCTCTGAGCCATCAGCCCAGAGCCTGACGCGGGGCTCGAACTCACGGACTGCGAGATCGTGACCTGGCTGAAGTCGGACGCTTAACCGACTGCGCCACCCAGGCGCCCCTCCCCTATATTTTTAAGGGAATGGATAAACTGCTGATTTTTGGTACAAGAATGGATAAATAAATATAGATGTTAGAATTGCCACTAAATAGCCCAGATTTTAATTTTTTCCTGTTTTCAAGTGAATCAAGATGTGAGTGATGAAAAATAACAATATATAAACTTAATATAGCCTCAATATATATTTTTCAGACTAGAGTACTTTTTGTATCTTATATCCCACTATAAAAACGTAATAGTAAGCCAAAACACATTTTTATTGATTAAACTCTTTTAGAGTTAAGAAATCTAAACTCTAGAAATAACACTAAGCTAGAATAAACCAGATACCAGATATTCAAGGTCCCCTACTATTCATTTGTTATGCATTCAGAAAATAAGAAATGAATTCTCTCAACCTAGTTTAATACTAAATACTTATGTTTCAATAGATCATTTATTCTCCAAAGGATATTTTAGCGTTGTTTAGAGTTTAGGAGAAAAAGATGAACTCTGAGATTTATTTATACTTCAATCTGACGGCATTAACTTCTTTATATTCTAAATTTTCTTTAAAACTGTATTCTTTGAAAATTAATTTCCAAATTATTTTGAATATCCCATATGAAAACTTTAATTCTATTAAAGGGCAATAGTTTTAATATATTTTAACCTAAACAGAAACAGAAATTAGTCAAGTTCTATTTAAACATCAAATGTTCGTTTTACCAGGTCATTTATTTGGCCGTGGTGTCCAGAAAACTCTCTGACAATCTTCCTAGTTTCAATATCCAGAACACTAATGGAGAAGTCATCCAAGGCAAGTCCCAGAATGCCACTAGTAAGATAAACACACCAGTTTTAATAAACAAACCAACAAACCTTTCACATTAAAATCTCATAGTCATTTTAATTTTTTTTTTAATAATCAAGCACACCTGTGGGGAAATTAAACAAAATTCTGTTCCTTTACATTAAATGTATAATTTTCCCACCTGATAAATTATGTACTTACATTATGACTTTTACCAAAAACATCAAAAATAAAATCCATAATCATTAAAGGAAAAACTTTACCTGTCTCTATGTAGCAGCATCGTATTCGGAGACGAATCAAGGCTCATAGAGTGTATTAAAATTTTGTTTTTAAAGTTCCAGAACTTGAGTAATCCTTCACTACCAGTTGTAATTGTCAACTGGTTTAAGCCATCCACTGCAACACCTCTAACAGATCCTTTATGAGCTTTAAAACATATGTTAAAAGGAAAAAGACATTAAGAAAATGGAACTGCCTCTCTAAACACTACACAAAGAGTGATTCCTTCATTTAAATTTCTAAGTTCCCTCTATTTAGCTCCCTTAAAATCTTAAAATTAATCTGGATTTCAGAAGATTATTATATTGCTGTAATTAAAACAATATCAATCCGGTTGATGCCAGAAAGCTTAAGATTTTCTGCTTAATTAAAGGGGAAGAAAACGCAAATTTTAATTTGTATAATATCTACTTTCCTCTAATCTATCAATAACTTCATTCTATTTAAGTATTTCAACATGGTGTTTATAGTAGGTGTAATGGCAGTAACTGCTAGATAGGGTTGACGATAACCCATCTACAACCTTACCAAAATGCCTGGCACTCAAGAATTTAATAAATGCCAGAGACAGTTAGTTATTAGCCTTGTATATTATTATTTTTTTTAATAAAAAAAGGGAAAAAATTCATTACCTTGATCCTCGCCAAAACTTCCTCGATGAATACCAGACTGCATATTATATACATCCACAGTTCCTGATGACAGACCAATTACAGCAAAGTTTCCACAAGAAGTTATATCTACTGCCTTTGGAAAAAAAAATTTTTAACACAAATTATACAAAAAATAACTAATATTTTTACTGTACTTTATGGTTTCCAAATGTCTTTTCACCTACTAATTACCTCATTAAAAAAAAAGAAGCATTCTAAATGAATTGCCTCATTAATTTTCGTAAAGATAATGTCATTGTACTTGGGTGTATAAGAAATAACTGCTTGATTCTATGTCCATTCTCTAAGAAGTATACAGAAATTATTATCCAAGAAAATAAAACATAACCAAAGTTAACTCAATTGAAATTTACAAAGTCAGAAGAATTGTATTTCAGCTGGCTTTCAATTTTAATTTATTCACAATACTGCTAAAGTCAAAGTATTCCACCGCCTAATTTCTTTACCTTACCTTATATAATTGCTTCTACAGCAGATATAAAACTGAAAACATATCATTAGGATGGTCATCATTATTATATTAAGCTTCAACTTTATTGTCTATAAAAAGAGGCTAACAACAGAAAACATCATAGGATTGTTGCAAGAATAATATAAAATAATGCCTGTTAGGGGCACCTGAGTGGTTCAGTCAGTTAAGCATCTGACTCTTGATTTTGGCTCAGGTCATGATCTCATTATCGTGAGACTAAGCCCCATGTCAGGCTCCACACTGTGCATAGAGTCTGCTTAAGATTCTCTCTCTCTCCCCACCCCCATTCTGCCCCTCCTCCCCTCATGTGCGTGCATATGCACACATGCTTTCTCTCTCTCAAAAAAAAATAATGCATGTTAGGCACAGAGCCTAGAAGAAAGTAAGCACACAAAAAATGTTAGCTGTAATTATCGTTACCACTACTAGTACAACAGCTACTCAAAATTGTGCAGGTAAACTTAAGGGGCTTAAGATAAAATCTCTGTGGTTTACAAAACAGTATAAAAGCTTAAAACTGGATTTTTGTACTATGGAGAATAGAGCATACATACTTTCAAAATGCCTTGTACAAAAGAGAATCAACTATGTAATTATACTTTCAATAAGTTAAAAACAGGTATTCACTAAAAAACAGAACAGATAAGTTCATCAAGGTTACATGATAGATCAGTACACAAAAATTAATTATATTTCAACACGCTAGCAATAAACAATCCAAAACAAAATTAAGAAAGAACTCCATAATAGCATTAAAAACAATAAGATACCAGGAAACCAAAGAAGTATGAGACTTGTACACAGACAACCACAAAATACTGCTGACAGAAATTAAGGATCTAAATAAATGGAAAGACATCCCATGTTCATGGATCAGAAGTAATATTAATATGGTAACACTCCTCAAACTGATTTACGGTATCAACAAAACCCCTACCAAAATCCTAGCTGCTTTCTTTGCAGAAATTGACAAGCAGATCCTAAAATTCACATGGACATGCAAGAGATTAGAACAGCCAAAACAATCTTGAAAAAAGAACTTGGAGGATTCAATTTTTCTGATTTTAAAACTTAACACAAAGGTACCATAGTCAAGACAGTGTGGTTCTGGCATAAAGACAGACATATAAAACAATGGAATAGAACTGAGAATCTGGAAATAAAGCCTCATATTCATGTCAAATTTATTTTTGGCAAGCACGCCAAGACTATTCAATGCGGGAAAGAACAGTCTTTTGAATAGTGATGCTGAGACAACTAGATATTCATATGTAACAGAATTAACTTGGACCCCTACATACATCATACACATAAATTAACTCCGAAAGGATTATAGGCTTAAATGTAATAGCTAAAACTATGAAACTCCTTAGCACAAATCACAGGAGTAAATCTTCATGGCCCTCGGTTAGGCAACAATTTTCCAACAACCATCAGCAAAAAAAAAAAAAAAAAAAAAAAAAAAAAAAAAAAAAAAAAAAAAAAAAAAGAAAGAAAAGATAGGTTGGACTTAATCAAAATAAAAACTCTTATACTGAAAATGATTATCAACAAGAAAATGAAATGACAGCCCACAGAAAGGGGAAAAAACACTGCATATCTGATAAGGGATTTAGATCCAGAATACACAAACAGCTAATACAACTCAATATAAAAAGACAACCCCTTTAGTGGGCACAGAATTGAAAAGACATTTCTCCAAAGAAGACATACAAACAATCAGTAAACACATGTAAAGAGGCTCAACACTGAGTCCGAAACACAAATCACAATGAGATACTAGTATATACCAACAAGGATGGCAATAATCAAAAGAGCAATCACAAGTGTTCATTGAAATGTATAGACATCAAAACACTTATACATTGCTAATGGGAGTATAAAAAGGTGCAGCCACTTTGGAAAACAGGTTGGCAGTTCCCCACAAATGTTAAACAGAGTTGCATTATGACCTAATGATTCCAGTCCTAGGTATAAATGCAGAGAAACAAAAACATATGTTCACATAAAAACTTATGTGTGGTAGGGTCCCCTACCTAAGAATGTGAAAACAAAACAAAACAAAACAAAAAAACAAAAAACCTCAAGGCAACCTGGCTCTACCTGTACATGATAACAACATCCCTCATGACCTTGTAACATGAGACCACTTAATCAGACTGCATGTTTCTGTGTTACCATATATGGTAGACAAAGAAATAGAAAATGTACAAAACTATGCCACGTGAAGTTTGGGGCTCAGTTCTTTGGGTACAAACCCAACTGAGCCATACTGGCACAAATAAAGTTACTTCCTGGAAAGAAAAGCCTGGGAGTCACGACTTCTTTTGTGAAAATCCTGCTACAATGCACTAATGTTAGCATTATTTATAAGAGTCAAGAAGTAGAAACAACATAAATAGCATCAACTAATCAATGGCTAAATAAAATGTGGTTTCTACACAAATGTAGTAGTGTCCACAATAAAACAAGTATGTTATAAATGCTATAACATGAATAAACTTTGAAAACATTATGCTAAGTGATGGAAAAGCCAATGAGAAAGACTATATCTTGTATGATTCCATTTACATTAAATGCCCAGAATAGGAAAATCTATAGAAATAAAAAGCAGATTGTGGTTACCTAGGTTAGGGAGAGGGGAGAGAAGTGAGAGAATAGGGTTTCTTTTTGAGTTGATAAGAATATTCTAAAATTAGACTGATTAGATTTTAGTGATGATTTCCCAATCCTATGAATATACCAAAAATCACTTGACTGTACACTTTAAAAGAGAATTTTATGGTTTATAAAATATATTAATAAAACTGTTTCTTACAAAGTAGAAGGAGGGCACCTGGGTGACTCAGTCGATTAAATGTCCAACTTTTGATTTTGGCTCAGGTCATGATTTCACGGTCCTAAGATTGAGCCCTGCGTCAGGCCCTGTACTGGGCACAGAGCCCGTGTAAGATTCTCTGTCTCTCCTTTGCCCTTCCCCACACAGATGTGTGCTTTCTCTCTCTCACTAAAACAACAACAAAATCCAAAAAAGAAGAAGCAACAACTCTGCAAACCAGAATATAACAATGCTTCTTTATATCTGAAAATCTGATGCAACAGAAGTGGATTAACATATTAACAAAAGCAAACAGAAACAAAATTTCTAAAGAGGAGTAAACTCTTAAGTAAACACTGGAATTTAAAAGCTGTATTTAAGGGGCACCAGGGTGGCTCAGTTGGTTAAGCGTCCAACTCTTGGTTTCGGCTCAGGTCATGATCTCACAGTTTGTGAGTTTGAGCCTGGCATTGGTCTCTGTGCCAAGAGTGTGGAGCCTGCTTAGGATTCTCTCTCCTTCTCTCTCTCTGCCTCTCTCTCAAAAATAAAGTAAAAAAAAATACGTTAAAAATGAAAGGTATATTTAAGAAAGGCTTAGAACTCAATTAGAATTTCTCTATAAGGCACTTCTCAAGAGACAAATATAAGAAAATAAAGGCTTTAAATAACTTCTATACCTATAAGTCATTAAAGAGTTAGCTAAATCTTACTCCTATATCAGAAGAAATCAAGAAAGAAAAAAACCCTTAAGATTCACATTCATTAAATATAGTTCTGTATACTCAACATAATTAAGGTAAGAAAGTTCATTGATAAATGCTGAATTCATCTTCAGAGGGTATTCTGAGTAATCCTACTTAATTAGAAAACTAAAGCAACTAATATACATCTAATTAAGCAAAACTTAACTTAAACCTAAAATAATTCTCTACAGTTGGAAAACCTAACACTATTAGAAAATAATTTTAAAATGTTAAACTGCTGTTTCAACCCATATGATCATTAATAAACTTGAGTATAACAAGATTGCCGCAGGACAATTTTACAGGAGAAAATGCTCTTATCAACAAGCTCAAGCTCACTTACTGTTGCGGTTATGTCATCTGTCTTCAGCTCTTTTGGCTTGAGAAAGTAAGCGCCTATGGTAGATCTCTGATAGTTCCAAGTTGAACAAGACAGTTTACCTTGATGGCAAGCAATGATACTATCCCAGTCACTTTCACGAGCCTCCTCTAAAATATAATGAAAATCATAAATCAAATTATTTTTCATTCCCTCACTCATTCATTTACCTATTACTTATTAAGAATATAATATTCTATGTTATCATTAGGCACTAGGGACTGATGGTGTACAGGTAATTTCGGATAGCAATGAGCTTCTAATCTAACAAGAAATTCTGTGGGCACCTGGGTGGCTCATTGGTTGAGCTTCATTTCGGCTCAGGTCACGATCTCCTGGTTCATGAGTTCAAGCCCTGTGTTGGGCTCTGCACTGACAGTGAGGAGTCTGCTTGGGATTCTCTCTCCCTCTCTCCATCTCTGTTCCTCCCCTGCTCATACACTCTTTATCTCTCAAAAATAAATAATAAACTTAAAAAATTTTTTTAAAAAAGCAATTCTGATTAGAAGAAATTATAATAAATAATGATAGTGTCTTATAAAAGCACTCAGCAAGAGTTTACAAAGAGACTTGAGGACAGTAATAAATGGCTCCCTGAAAGAAGCAATAAAACAAACATCAATTAATTGGGGGCAAGGACACAAATAGGTTCAAGGGTAACTTGAACAAAAAGAAGTAAGTGATGCATTTCCTGAGAAGGATGGGAAGCAGACAAGGCAACTGGGGCCATACCACAAAGTCGTGAAAGCTGTGTTCATAAGAGGAGATTACATCCTACAGGCAGTAAGGGGCCTCTGAAAGATTTTTAAGCAGGTGAGTAACATGATTCAGATGTCTGAGATCACTCAGGTTCTAAGATAAAAAATGGAAAGCAGGGTGGTCAAAATAAAAGTTTAAAAAAAAAAAAAAAGGAAAGAAACCATCATCAGGTTGATATAAGAACCTCGAAATGGAAATGGTGCCTTATTTCTATGGTAGTTTTCACTCAACAATCAACAATTCAATTCTTTGAATGAAACACCACTCTAATAATGTAGCATATAAGGACCTCAGTGTATTCTGATTTTAATTACAATAGAACTTTATGTTCTCTGTTCTTACCTTTTTATATTAGTGACTTTCATTACACCAGACATATAATAGAATAAAAAGGGCTACAAAATGAGATACCAAATACTATTTATTAATAGGTCTTACAGAGAAGACCAAAACCTGAAATTAAAAGATAACTGCAAATTATAAATAATTCTTTTTCAGTCTTCACATTAGATTAGTAGGCACTTGGGGGTACTTCCAAATGCTTATTAATGCCTGCAAAAACATTCTTTAAAATGAAGAAAACTTGGGGCGCCTGGGTGGCGCAGTCGGTTAAGCGTCCGACTTCAGCCAGGTCGATCTCTGTATTTGCAGTCCATTGAGTTCGACGGCGTCGAGCTCTGGGCTGATGGCTCCAGAGCCTGGAGCCTGTTTCGATTGCAATGTCTCCCTACCTCTCTCTCTGCCCGCACCTCCCCACGTTCAGCCAATGTCTCTGTCCCAAAAATAAAAATAAAAACGTTGAAAAAAAAAAAATTAAAAAAAAAAAAAATAAAATAAAATGAAGAAAACTTAAAAATAGTAGGAAAAATAGAAAAACAGAACTTCTTGGAATACAGTGTTAAGTTACCTACCAGCTGCAAATTTTGTGATGGGTGGAAGCCTTACTGACAAGGCATTCTGAAGTCCTTTACGTTTGACTCTCTTCTTATTTATTAATCCTGGAGTTGAGGGAGAGAAGAACATAGCTATGGATCCTTCTTAATGAAAAATGAACATAAAAGAGAAGCAATTCTTTGTCATATAACTACACAGCTCAAGATACTCTTATTTAAGTTAGGAACCAAATAAAGATGATGTTATAACCACTATTACTTAAATCATTTTTGAAATTTAGTCTATATAATTAGATAAGAAAATAAACTATGAGATATAAATAATTGAAAAAAAGGTTAAAAAATCATTTTTTACAGATGATACGATGGTAATATAGTCATGTCAATCAAGAGAAACAACCAAATAATAATTAGAATAATCATTTTATTGGACAAAATACAGAACCAATAAAAAAAAGTGAGTTCTACAATGCAGTAATATTTAAGATCACTATAATTATTACTTGGTAATTATAACATATTACATATTCTTATATAGTAATTACTAAATACTAAATATTGCAGATAGAAATATGATGAACAAAGATTACATCTATAACACTAGCAAAAAAAAAATATTAGCATATTATAAAAAAAATACATAAGATACCACTGAATAATCTCAAATATGGAAGACCAACAGGAGGAAAACTAAAAAACAAATAAACAAACAAACAAAAACTTCATTAAAGCACTAAGGAAAATAAAAAGTAACCTGAATGAGGATATATCATATCTCTAGATGTGAAGATTCTTAAAGATATCAAATCTCTCCAATTTAATTTCTAGAAGTATTACTTTGAATGCTAATTAAAGAATGATCCTTAAAAAAAAAAGGTCTTGTAACTCATCTGGAAGTATATACAAACATGAATAGCCAGGACAGTAGCTAAAAAGAGGAGTAATTATGAATAAAACTGAAAAACATTTTTTTTTTATTTATAAAATCTTTCAAATGCTGGAAACTATGAGAAAAGATACAGAATAAAGTAAGTTCTTTCTGTAAAAAGATGGGACACTGCTTACTTCGATGCCTTCTCTAATGTCCCTTCCATGTTTAAAATCCTGCACTCTACACATGGCTCAAGATAAGTCATTGATGTCTTTTGGGTGGCAGCAGTATGTTTTTACCACCCAAGCTGTCTAATTCTTTTCAATAACCTTATAGCAGCACCTCAACCACTTCTACAGCAACACTGATGTTAAAAATCTATTACTCTTCCATACAGGGGTTTTTTAATTTTATCCAAGAAAAAAGGAAATTTATCAATGAAACCTCATCTGGTTGTCTCACAGTATCTTGAAACGTTTCTTTTGTGACCAGTAGCTTTTTTTTTCGTCTTGCAAATGACCTACCATGTCCCAAACTCTTGTTAAATTTTTCATGTACTGTGGAAAATGATTGAAGAGTTCCATCTTGACCTGTTGATATATGTAGAAAATACCTATCAAACTTCATCAAAACAATGGATCATTTGAATGACAGATCTTTTTTTTCTTTTTTTAATTTTTTTTTTCAACATTTATTTATTTTTTGGGACAGAGAGAGACAGAGCATGAACGGGTGAGGGGCAGAGAGAGAGGGAGACACAGAATCGGAAACAGGCTCCAGGCTCTGAGCCATCAGCCCAGAGCCCGACGCGGGGCTCGAACTCACGGACCGCGAGATCGTGACCTGGCTGAAGTCGGACCCTTAACCGACTGCGCCACCCAGGCGCCCCTGAATGACAGATCTTAATGATTCTTAAAACTTGAAGTTACAGTTTGGGATACTTTAAAAGGAGAGCTAAATTGCAACTACTTCATTATAATATTCACCTGTACAAAGAATGCCATTTAGTAAGAACCAAGGATAATATGAGTTACTAATAATTTTCAGCAGATTATGAGACTTGGCAAGGGCCACAGTTTCAGAATCCAGCCACCTGTCTGTGAAGATCAGTAAATAAAATAACATTCTAAATGAAGATAGTATCTACAGTACTTCCTGAAGTTTTCAAAAAGAATCTCCTCATTTACTCAGATTTCCAAATCACTCAAATTCAAATCTGAATCTGAAAATTCAATACCAAACCTAATAGTTATTAAATACCCTGCTCTCTATACTTTCTGGGATAAACTAATAGGATGAAGCAGAAACTCACTTGCACTAAGAATTTGCTGTCCGTTTTGTCCATAATATCTGATTTTGGTAAGAGGAGCACCATGTCCCATTCTGAATCTCAAAAGCCGGCCTTCACCTGTAGGACCATCAAATATCCATATCTGCCAAGAAATAAAAAGGTAAGGTTCTTTCACAATGTGTTAAATGATTTGTAAGCAGTCAGATCATCTTCTACACCTATCAACTGGCACTGGGTAGTGCTGACTCTGGAGAAGGGGCTGGGGAGAGATGAACTGTAACTCTTTTTCACTTCACTGCAATCATGTAACCTGCTGTACTTTTGTTTCATCTATACCATTACCGTATCCCATTTTCCTTTCATCTTCTAGGTTTTAGGCTGATAACACTAAAACAGGCTTGCAATAACCCCAAGGGTAAAAGCCAGGAAAATGATAACAACAATAATAATACCCTCAGAGCATTGTCGGCACCATTTGTGACAAGAAGGGGCTCTCTATGGAGAAATGTCAGTCCGGCAATCGCTGTAGAATGAGCATTTCTCATCTGATTGATTAACTTTTTGTCTTCTAGATCCCAGAGTCCAATATGGCCACATGGGCTTCCAGCTGCCATTATTGGATGACCATCTGTTATTAAAAATAAAATACATTAAGAAAAACATGCGCCATAAAACAACCAAACGTAACAATTCTTCTCTCCATCCCTTTAATCCATAAATATAAGGTTAGAAAAAACTATGCACCAATAATGTATCCATATTCCTGTGGCTATTTGTAATGCAGTATTTCACTTATTTCTATTAAATACATTAACTTGCAAGAAAACATCCACTTGGAAAATTTCTATAAGCTTCGAAGTATACATTTTAAACATTCTTAACTCTTACTAATAATTAAGTTAAAAGTTACCTGTACGAAATGAAATTGAAGTAATAGGTCCCCAGTCTTGACGAAACTTCATTAATGTTTCATCGAATTTAATGTTGTGAATGATAACCTGACCTGACATAAGACCAACAGCAACAACATCCACAGCTGGTGCCTGAAATTTAAATTACTCACTTTTTATTCTTAATCAAAATAGCTTCAATAATCCTGACGTTATGCATCATTAATTATGTAAAAGAAATAATAGAATATCTTCTTGAGGATGGCAAAAAAAAAAACAACAACAAAAAACAACCTAGTAAGTATTACCATTCTAGCATACTTTGATTGCTATTTCACATGGCAATATTTAGGAATGATTTTTTCAAGTTACTTCCCAGCTTCAAATCTGGTAGTCACCATCAATCCCCTCATTCCTAAAACACAGCTGACTCAGTAAGAAAACAGCCATAAAAGAAAAGGAATCTGATGTATGAAATCACTACAGATCAGTGACAGGAAAGAAACAAAAGAGATACAGCTCTTAGAAAACATAAAAAGGCTTGCCATATGCCTGGCAACATAAAAGGCCAACTACAAAGGAAGTGAACAGTTCTTTATCCAAGGAAACAAAAACCTATAAAACATTTTAAAAGGCAAAAAAGTCTTAGGATTAGTCTGTCCCAGCTCTAATATTTTATGAATAGAATCTTCATTTTATCAATGGTCTTATATACAGGCTCTATAATAAGTTTCTCTATTTTAGCACAGAAGATCAATGTTCAATACCATTACAGAATAGAATCACGCTAACCATTTTATTAATCTACCATCATGTGACCATGATGCATGAGACCCTGGGGATATTAAAACAAGTATGATTCCTTGCCCTCAAGGGACCTAATCCTCTGATACCTCTGGGGTCTTATGGGTAGGCAAAAGCACAGCAAGGTTGATGGTACTGAGAGAGAATGAAAGAATGAATAGAAGTTGGGCAGGTATAAGCAAGAGCTATTCAGAAGGACAAGGATATACTGGCAGTATACATGTCCAATGTATGATTCTCTGCAGACCTACATCATTCATACATGTTCCGCAGTCTCATGAAAACAAAAGCAGTTATTTATGGAAAAGTGCAATTAAAAATGTTAGGATTCGGGTCCCAATTATTCCAAGCTACAACCTTCAAAATTAGAACAAATTTCTCTGCATGACCTACAATCTCCCTTGCTTTACTGAACAACTAACTCACCTCCACCATCTCCACTCTGCACAAGGCACTGGACTACACGCTTACAAAACGATTGGTAAACACTGTTCCATAGCAACTATAGGTTTAGAGCCTAATTCCAGGTAAAAAGATTTCCATAAATGTTTATAGGCAAAGGCATTATTGTTTTCAATGACATTTCCAAAACACTACCTTTTAGGGCAATATTTATAAAAATAAACTACTTTGTATATTATTTTTGTCTTTAGGTCTAAAAAATATGGTTGACCCCTAAAACTGAAAGATCACACTACTAACTTCATTTCTTCTCTGACTTAACAAAAAAATACTAACCTGCTGAAGAGCTGTGACTCCAATTTTCCATCCCAGAAACGTATACAGAAGCTTACTACAGGAAGAAAAGTAGTTGAAAGTTTTTATTTTTTAGGGAAACAAAATCGACTATATATTAAAAAGCAAAATAATAATGGGTCATATTTGTTTCTCTGACCCACAGTATTCTAAGTATATATATATTAACTTATTTAATACTCAAAATGATTCCATGAGGTAGATATTATCACCATTATCCAGATAAGAAAATAAGAAACTTAATTATGTGAAACAATTAAGCTAAGGTTCTATGGCTAATAATTCATAGAGCCCAGACAGACCAACTCCAGATCCTATGCCCCATGCTGCTAGTAACTACTATATTATGCGAACTCTTTAAGAAATAGAAAAAAAATACAAGCTAAAAATCATTTTATATTACAGACTATGACAAAAAACCATCTTAGAATGTAGGTGGATCTTGTTTTTTCACTGCAATGTGTTTCTAGAAAAATATTACCAATGAGAATATAACTATGATACTTATGTTATATAACTGTCACATGACAATAGTGATGCTGCTCTAAATTACAGAATCAAGCCACAAACGATAAAGAAGTCCATGAAGAAACAGATTCTGAAATTGTTAAAATGATATTCAATAAAGTATTAAATCATATAGTAAATTTGGTAAGTGGGCACAGATTAGTTACTCAATGATTATCCAAGGAATATTTAATGTAAAATAGTGTGTAAACATCACATAAAGAGCCTCAATATATAATGCAGGAACAGAGACAATACTTCTGTCATTATCCCTAAACCTACAAGGGTAGGTAGTCAATATTTGCTAAATTGAATGAAAACACTGATTTAAAACTACAAACTAAGATAAATGTTAAACCTTTGATAATCTTATTTTCCCTTTCAAATTTATGAGGGATTTAGAAAGTACAATTTGGATGGTCAAATATTTTTGTCTTTTTAATGCTATACAAAGATTGAACTATCACTTTTTTCTCCGGATAAATGTTCAAATAACAGGTGGAGGTATTCAAAACCATTTATCTAGCCCTCCAGCTATACCAATAATATTATAGTAAATGTCCATCTAGTTTGTGGTTGATAATACAAGGACTTTTACCCTAAAAATGATTCCTAAATGCTAGCACTAAATTAATACTGATTGACTTTGCCTTCTCCTGCTTCTTCAGTTTATTGAAAACTAGATGCTGTCCAGTGACCAACACATAATTATTTTCTTATGTTACTTTACTAGAGTCTTCTCTATAGTTATATGGATTCTTTACAGATTAGGGCCATTAGTATATACTTTTAAATGGATACTTATGAAGCTGCCTACCATATGCCAGGACCACATGCCACCTTTTGCCTATGTGATACCGTGAGTAACAACACCAAAAGTAGGTATACTTATAGAAGGCCCTCAGATAAACATATAAAGGCAGGGAGAATTGAGAGACTTAAGTATGCGTTAGGGAGTAGTAGGTAAGGATAAGATGGGAACCACCTACATTATATTCTAAATAAAGTGCTTACTTGGATTTTACATTCCACAACTGTAGGCTTCCTTGTTCACTGCCAAGAAGTATTTTATTCAAGTAGGTACTTGGGTGCAAAATTGCAGAAATTTTAAATACTGATTTATCAAAAGTCAATTGGAGATATTCCTCTACAAAAGTAAAAGTTATAAACAACATGTAATTATTTTTCATATATCCATATATCTAGCCCTTAAAGTAAGCCTACCATATCAGAGATTTATGTCTTAATATAAACCAAAGACTTACATTCGAACCTTTACACATTCCTTGAGAAATTAAATGTGATGAGGGGCAACTTGTAAATGTAATTTAGACTGTCAAAAGTTTTCTAAAATTCTAATATCAGTACTATTAAAAATTCCACTCATTGGGGCGCCTGGGTGGCGCAGTCGGTTAAGCGTCCGACTTCAGCCAGGTCACGATCTCGCGGTCCGTGAGTTCGAGCCCTGCGTCGGGCTCTGGGCTGATGGCTCAGAGCCTGGAGCCTGTTTCCGATCCTGTGTCTCCCTCTCTCTCTGCCCCTCCCCCGTTCATGCTCTGTCTCTCTCTGTCCCAAAAATAAAAAAAAAAAAAAAAAAAAAAAAAAAAAAAAAATTCCACTCATTGCTGAACTTGTTTATAGGAATAAAAAATAAGGCTTAAAAAAAGGAATCAGCCTTACTATTTTTATAATTTGATCAAGAGGCAGAGTGAATATTCCAAAGTGAAGTACTTATACTGAACTCTTCCATGGAGTGAAAGGCCAAATATCTAGGGAGATTGATGGGTCTCTCAAAGATGTAAAAAGTAAGAGGCAAATCTTGGTGAAAGTAAAAACAGTGATTCTCATACATTTCCACCAAACATAGCTCACTACCACTGTATAAGACTATCACAGTTAAAGAACACTGACTCATATTCTTAGAGAAAGGATGTATACTTTCCTTTAGGTTATAGGATCTTTACAGGATCTTTACAGGATCTTTAGTTTACTACCACAATCTCCTTTGCGGAAAGTTGAAAATACAAACCAAGAGTTACTCAGGTGTAATCATATACCAAAATGCACTCTACAGAGAAAATAATTCACGCATCACTGAACTTGGAGAACTGCAATGGAAAATGTATTAGCTGAAATTAATACATTAAACAGGTTATAAGTACTATAGTTAGCTCCTAGCTGACTAAAATTATCTATACATTTTTTACTTACAACCTTTTTCTTCATATATATTAAAGAGTCTAAATTTTTTTCTGATTACATGTGAAACCTCTGGCATGGAAGTTGTGTTTACATAGGTTTTTAATTTTAGCTGCACACATACTATCCGCCCTCATGATAATGCAATAAATTGGCTCATTCTTACCTTCTGAATATATGTGCCAAATAATAAGAATGCTGTCAGTATCAACAGAGATAATGTGATCCCCAAAGGGTTGCAACAGATGGATTTCTGCTTTATGACCCTTAAAGGTGTGTACTACCTACAATGTTAAAGTTCAAAAGAATTTAATATTATTACTCATTCAACATTTAACATTATTCATATTAACCAAAAACATGCTAATCCTAAAGATGCTCTCATTAAGAAACGTAATCCAACTTTTGATTATCCAAGGTTAGATTAACAAATGGCAAGGAACCAGGCATTTTCACCTGCTCCCTCAGCCAGTCCAATAATAAGGAAGCCTAAACTAGAAACATAGAAATGAGACCTCTGAAGTTCAACCTCACAACTGAGCTTAGGGAGGACACATACAGCCGGGTTGTTCACCCAATCTAACCAGCACTACTCCATGCATCCTAAAAAAATGGTTATGTTCTAGAAGGCTAACTCTATAAGCTCCATCACCAGCTGGCTTCCAGATGAGATAGGGAGGATAGAGTACTTCTGTTCTGACACACAGAGACCCTTATCCTTACAGTAGCTGCATTCCTTAAGAACTACAGCCCCTTCTCCATGATTTCAGTTCTCACCAAATTCCAGAAACATTATTTCTTCTCCTTGTCCTTTGGACCTAGAAGTGGTAACAGCTTCCTACAATTCCTGCAATTAGTCTCCCATGCCTTGCCACCCTTACTTTCTCTCTATTTGTATCTTCCAGGGAAAACTACAAACTGCAGTATTTTGTATTAAAAAAAAAAAAAAAGGACATTTTTCCTGACTCTAAAAATTCAAATAAGTCCCATAAAAGACCTCCACAGGTAAACTGCCCTCCTCTGCCACAGGCAGTGATGATGGAGGACCCTGGGAACAAATGTCAGTCCAAATTAGACCTTAACAAGTACACTGATCCGAATCCTTGGCTATCTAGGCATCCATACTGCCACTTCCCTTTTCATTCTGGACCTCCTGAGCCAGGTCATCTCTCAAGGCTGTTTTTCCAGAACAAACTCAGAAACCAAATGAGAGATTAAGAAAAGACCCTTCCTTACCAGTGTAGAAAACAGAGAATCTAGTTTTCTCTATACAGAGAACCACTTGGTTCTTAGAAAAGGAGTCATGGGCTGAGTTGTTCATAATGAAAAAGTCAATCCACATAAAGTAGTGGCATAAATAAAATGAAAACATGACAGTCCAAAACCTCAGGAATACAGCAAAGGCAATATAAGAGAGAAATATATTATCAATTCAGGCCTTCCTAGAGAAGGAAGAAAGGTCTCAAATACATAACCTAAACTTTCACCTAAAAGAGCCGAAAAAAGAACAGCAAATGAAGCCCAAAACAGCAGAAGAAGGGAAATGATTTTAGAGCAGAAATCAATGACAGTGAAATTAAAAAAAAAAAAAAAAAAAAAAAAAAAAAAAAAAAAAAAAAAAAGTAGAAAAAAAAAATCAATGAAACCAGAAGATGGTTCTGTAAAAGAATTAACAAAATTAATAAAGCACTAGCAGGACTGATCAAAAAGAAAAAAGAAAAGACCCAAATAAATAAAATCACAAATGAAAGAGGAGAGATCACAACCAACACCACAGAAATACAAACAATAATAAGAGAATATTATGAAAAATTATATGCCAACAAATCTGGAAGAGATGGACAAATTCCAAAACATGTAAACTACCAAAACTGAAACAGGAGGAAACAGAAAATTTGAACAGACCCATAATGAGTAAAGAAATTAAATCAGTAATAAAAAATCTCTCATAAAACAAAAGTTCAGAGCCAGATGGCTTTCCAGGGGAATTCTACCAAACATTTTAAGAAGAGTTAACATCTATTCTTCTTAAGCTGTTCCAAAAAAATAAAAATGGAAGGAAAACTTCCAAACTCATTCTATGAGGCCAGTATTACCTTGATTCCAAAACCAGACAAAGACCCCACTAAAACGGAGAACTATAGACCAATTTCCCTGATGAACATGGATGTAAAAATTCTCAAGATAATAGCAAACTGGATCCAACAATACATTAAAAGAATTATTCACCATGATCAAGTGGGATTTATTCCTGGAATGCAGGGTTGGTTCAATATCTGCAAATCAATCAATGTGATACATCACATTAATAAAAGGATAAGAACCACGTGATCCTCTCAACAGATGCAGAAAAAGCATTTGACAAAAAACAGCATCCTTTCTTGATAAAAACCCTCAAGAGGTACGGATAGAAGGAAGACACCTCAAGATCATAAGGACATATATGAAAGACCCACAGCTAATATCATCCTCAATGGGGGAAGACTAAGAGCTTTTCCCCCACAGGCAGAAACACGACAGGGATGTCCACTCTCACCATTGTTATTCAACATAGTGTTGGAAGTCCTAGCCTCAGCAATCAGGCAGCAAAAAAGAAATAAAGGGCATCCAAATCAGCAAGAAGGAAGTCAAACTTTCACTATTTGCAGATGACATGATACTCTATGTGGAAAACCCAAAAGACTCAACCAAAAAACTGCTACAACTGATACATGAATTCAGCAAAGTCAAAGGATATAAAAACCAATGTACAGAAATTGGTTTCATTTCTGTACACCAATAATGAAGCAGCAGAAAACAAAATCAAGGAATCAATCCTATTTACAATTGCACAAAAAACCATAAGATACCTAAGAATAAATCTAACCAAAGAGGTAAAGATCTATACTCTGAAAACTACAAAACAGTAAGAAACAGAAAAATATTCCATGATTGTGGATTGGAAGAACAAATAGTGTTAAAATGTTGATACTGCCCAAAATAATCTACATATTCAATGCAACCCCTATCAAAACAACACCAGCATTCTTCACAGAGCTAGAACAAACAATTCTAAAATTTGCATGGAACCAGAAAAAAATCCCAAATAACCAAAGTACTGTTGGAAAAGAAAACCAAAGCAGGAGGCATCACAATTCTGGACTTCAAGCTGTGTCAGAAAGCTGTAATCAAGAGAGTATGGTACTGTCACAAAAACAGACACTCAGATCAGTGGAACAGAATAGAGAACCCAGAAATGGACCCACAAACGTATGGCCAACTAACCTTTGGCAAAGCAGGAAAGAGTATCTCATGGAAAAAAGAGTCTCTTCAGTAAATGGTGTTGGGAAAACTAGACAGAGACATGCAAAAGAATGAACCTGGACCACTTTCTTATACCACAGACAAAATAAACTCAAAATGGGTGAAAGACCTAAACGTAAGACAGGAAGCCATCAAAATCCTAGAGAAGAAAATAGGCAACAACATCTTTGACCTCAGCTGCAACAACTTCTTACTTGACATTTCTCTGGAGGCAAAGGAAACAAAAGCAAAGATGCTACTGGGACCTCATCAAGATAAAATGCTTCTGCAAAACGAAGGAAACAATCAGCAAAACTAAAAGTCAACCAATGGAATAGAAGATATTTGCAAGTGACATATCAAAGAGTTAGTATCTGAACTCTATAAACAACTTATCAACCTCAACACCCAAAAAACCAATAATCCAGTGAAGAAATGGGCAAAAAAACCATGAATAGACACTTTTCCAATGAAAACATGGCTAACAGACACATGAGAAGATGCTCAACATCACTCATCACCAGAGAAATACAAATCAAAACCACAATGAGATACCACCTCACACCTGTCAGGATGGCTAACATTAACAACTTAGGCAACAACAGATGTTAGCAAGGATGCGGAGAAAGAGGAACCCTTTTGTGCTGCTGGTGGGAATGCAAACTGGTGCAGCCACTCTGGAAGCCACTCAAAGACTCTTAAATACAGAGAAGAAACTGAGAGTTGCTGGCAGGGTGGTGGGTGGGGGGATGGGCTAAAAGGT